TATATTTGTCAAATAAGTATTTATCTCAGCCTAGTAACCTATTAAATGATGAATAGAATTATCTCCTTTTATATATCTTAGGGAAGGTAATCTTAGGAAAAACAATAACTCTAACATTAAATGTTAACATTTAAGCTAGTTTAGAAATTCCTTGACCTATTTAAAGCATTCATCAGAAGTAACATTATCTCTCTTTTTGAAAGAGGTAGCAGGGAGGAACTTATTATGAAACATGTAAAAGCTAATTACAACTTTACATTAACACTAGGCAATGCATATGGTACAGAATTCTCTAGATGGGGGAAAAGGCTGGGAAGAACCTGTAGAGAACATGAGCTTTAAAGTCAAATCTATGAATCTGGAAGCTAAATTTGACTATATTCATTAGCTAGAGGACCTTGAACAAATTACTTATCTTCTGATTCTGTTTATTCATCATAAAAAATGGTATACTTTCTACCTTGACGGGATTCTGTGGGATGAGAGTGGTTACTTAAATGTGAGAGCAGTTATTTCATCTTTCAACAACCTCAATATACAAATAGAGTGGTCAGTGAAATATCAAATCATTTTGCTTTTAAGGTAGAACCACATTATGAGTCCTGAGGATATCATAATAAAGGCACAGACCTGATCCTTTCTGTGTTCTTGAACCACTCTGAATCACAGGGAGAGGGGGAATAACAGATATTCGCAAAAATCTTGTATGTGATTTCAAAAAATTCATGTACTCCTTAAAGGTTTTCATAGATCTTAAGAAAAAAAAAAACTAAAAAACACAAAATTAATGCTGTATATCTTAGTCTACCTTAGTAACACACAAATAAAAGAAAAAATAAACTACAGAAAATCAAGCTTCCAAGTTAAGAGTTCTAAGTTCTCTACCAAACAGAAAAAGTCATTTCCCATAATGCTCAACTGACTTGCACTCAACTGGAGGTGCTGATGGTACCTGCTATTTTGTCACTTTTGTTACCACAGGTACACCCAGAGAGCTTTCTTCTTCCTTACTCTAGCACTCTAGCACTTTGGGGGTAAACAAACAAACAAACAAACAAAACAAAAAAAAAAACATACATGGGTTTAGAAAAAAGTCTAATTCTACTTTCGAAAAAGTGATTTAATAAATCAAGATCATTTATAATTTAAATTTGAAGAACATTCTTCAATTTGACTTCATTTAATGACTTCAAGAATCATTCAAAATTTCTTATGCTTCAATCACTTTTGAAATGTAAACTATTGAATAGGAGGTGGCCTAAATGAAATAAAGTCAAAGTCTAAAACAAACACAAATAATTTAGAGTCTAAAAAAGAATTTCCAATTCTTGTCAACACACACGTATTAGAGCATCTGTGGGCGTGCTTCTAATATGTACAAGATGAGTTTCATTCATTGCTCACACATGGTATTTATCGAATATGTAATATATTCTGAATCCCTAGAATAAGAATGAAGACAACTAAATATTAATTACAAGTATCCAGCATAACACTTGACACAAAACAGATGTAAAAAAAAAAAAAAAAAAAAAAGAGGTCTGTTGGACAAACCAATGAATGAATGAATAGGAAAAATACAACTTCATTAAAAATTTAGACAATCCAGATTTCAAATTTTCTGCCACATTAACAAGCCAGACACACTTCATTTTTTTTTTAGCTAAGTAAATGTGATGGTAAAGGACAAGTTATCAAAGATCATGTAAAGGTTTCCAGCTTGCTGTACAGAAAAATGCTAAGAAGCTATACTAATATTAATGAGTTATTCGGTCAAAATTACAGTGGCTACTGCTTTGATTCCTCATTGTTGAAACAGAAACCTGATTCAAACATACCTGACAGTATGGAATTGACCTCAAGATAAAAGACAAAAAAAAAAAAAAGGCAGTAATTTAAATGATGCACTTTTCCACTATGCACTTTTAAGACCTGAAAAAAAAAATCCAAATACTTAAATAGGAATGAAACTACAGAAAAAAGAAAAAAGATTCAGAATCAATATAGTTTATTTTTAAGGGCTTTTTTTTAAAAAAAGTAAACCACATAAATTTAAATAAATAGTTTAGTTCAATATATCAATAATTCGGTATTTTCATTATCAAGGACTTAATTGTAAAATGTTTAGTTCCACTTTTAAAGTCTTAAAAACAAATCAGAAATTGACTTTAAATATAAATCACTAATAAAGTAAAAATAAGTGCATCTAAATTATAAATGCTTTATCCATTAAATGGATCAAATTTTAAAAGACAGGTTTACATTCTAAGTACCAAAATACTTATGCTTTTTGGCCCCTAATTTCAAAGTTGTATGTGAATGATGAGGCAGGAAAATGAGATAGACACTCTCAGCTGTATTTGATAAAAATATAATATGAACCACTTATGAGAACTTGCCCAAAAATAAATTCATTTCCTGAGACACACAAAACCAGAGGATTTTTATTATTTAATTATATAAAACTTGTCTTCAGGAGGAATAAATTACAAAATAAAATATCAGTTCTACTTTTCAGCAAATTGTTAAAAGAGAGGTAAATCATTTACTATTTACGCATTTTGTGTCTAAAACTGTGAAAATTTAACCTCGACATTGGAGAAAAAACTGAAGTCAAGATGAGAGGTAAATATAACAGGAATTCTAGGTCGGTTTACAAATCTGGGCATGTTCTTTCAAGTTTAGATATTCCCATGATATTGAATCATATTCAGACAGATAGGACGTATACCAGGAGGGTTAAGAATTGCTTTTAGATATAGTGTAATCATGCTGCAAATAAGGTTTTTGGACTAGTTATTTAAACTATATTTGTTCCTGTTCCACCAATTATAAATGCAAAAACCGACAGCACCTGTCTCAAAAGATTTACGTGAGATATGGGTACATAAAACCTGGCACGGAGTGATGACTCAGTAGTAGTATCATCCCTAGTGGCACTGAGATTTCATAACTAGGATAAAACATAACACTCATAGCATGATAAATGTCTGATCAATGAGGGAGAAAGAAAATTCCATTGAGAAATAACCCAATAATGGGATGGTTGTGCAGATAAACTAGAAAATGAAGGTTCCACTTTTCTGGAAAGTGTTTATTCTGGCAAATCAGGCATGATTTTAAAACTTTCATTCAGAAGCACCGACTAAGCTCTAGGCACTATGTTAGGCTCTGATGCCATAGGAAAGAATGAATTTTATGCCGATAATTGAAAATAGGAGCAGTACTTTACCGTAAGTGAAGGATGGTTTCTCTGTATCATAGAGAGGTACCTAACTAGGCTTTGGGTAGGAGGTGAAAGGGAAAGGAACTCAAACTTTTTAATTAACTAGTCATCTATCCTACAAATCAATATCACTACAGCAAGAGCAGACCAAGAGCACACTTTGGCTCCCTTAACAAGGCATTGATCGAATGGTGAAACATGAAGAAAAGTACCCACTAGATTACTGGAGAGGAACTTCTGGGGTCATGGAAACGTCCCAGATCACGTTTTGTGTGGCGATTACGCAGTGTATACAATCGTCAAAACTAAAAACACTAAACACATAAGAAGAATGTTATGTGATGCTAACGACATACGACAGACACCATTAAAAAAATATGGCTCGTTCAAAAAATAAAAAATAAAAAAGTGCTCCCTGCTTTCTCGCTGGAAAATGAGAGAATTTAAAAGTACGACCAAATGTATCCCCATTATAAAGTGAACTACAGAATGATCTAATCTCATTCACAACATGTGATATTCTTTTAACTTCTTTAAAAAAAAATTTCGTCTATTTATTTATGAGAGACACACACAGAGAGAGAGAGGCAGAGACACAGGCAGAGGGAGAAGCAGGCTCCATGCAGGGAGCCGGATGCAGGCAGGACTCGATCCCAGGACCCCGGGGTCACGCCCTGGGCAGAAGGCAGGCGCTCAACTGCTGAGCCACCCGGGCGTCCCTCTTTTAACCTTCAGTGCTACGTGATGCAAAGAAAACCTTTGAGATCCCAGACCACTGGAATCCCTCCTGGTCTCATTCACCGCACAACCTAAGAACGGACATACATCCTTCAGCCACAGTTCACCTGTTTTTTTTTTTTTTTTTTTGATGCTTTCGCGTTTGAAACCGTCAGCGGGAAATCTGCCTGCTTGTTTCACTGCCTGTCCCGTGCATGCTCGGGGTGGAGGAAACAACAGGCCTGGCATCGCAGAGTTTTCAAACAGAATTCCAAAAACCCAGCTTCTGGCTTGGGTATTCTGCCACCCCTGACAGTCTCCTTATCCCAGGCCTGTCCTGAAGACAAAGCGGCTCATTAACCTGTGCAGGCGCTCCGAAAAGTCCAATCAATTACCTCAAAGCGGCACCGGCCCTGCGGTCCCTGCGGCCCTAGCCAAACCCCAAACCGAATCCTGACATTTATACGTTCTTGGGTGGATGGGGGGGGGGAGGGGGGGGACTCAAGACACATCTCCTTTGAAACAGAATGGAGCAAACAGACGTTGGAGGGGCAGAAACGGGTAGGCCCACTCCCACTCCAAAAATTAAAAAAAAAAAAAAAAAAAAGAGGGTGGGTGATGAGGCCTCTTCCAGTTAACTTCCAAAACTTTAGATTTCTGGGATCAGATCTTCCAAGGCACCTGGCATAATCTGGTAAACCGAAAAAAGGGAAGTGAGGCGTGAAGGCCTAGAGTAAGAGAAATTCTTCTGTCCCTCTAGCCTCGTCGCCCCATCAGCGAAGAAGTGAGGGCACAGAGGGCACGGAGACCTTTGCTCCCCCCCCCCCACACACAAACACACCGTAGGGTGTAGGGGGCAATCAGCAAGCACGAGCTCCTTCGCTAGTCGTTAGCACGCACCCCAACGCCTTCCATCCCGGACACGAGTGGGAGCAAGGCCCAAGGAAGGGTGCTGCGATCCACGCGTCACAACCCCTCCCCCTTCCTCTCCGGGTCCAGCGGCCTCGGGCCATCACTCCCTTCCCTCATCCCCCATCCCCGGGGCCGCCAGCCTCACCAGCTGTTCCCGGCGGCTGGAGCTCCGATCGGCTGGCGCCCGGCGGCCCCGAACATTAACGACACCCAGGAGCCTGGCCTCGAGGCTCAGGCCCGAGAACAGACCCCAACTACCACTGCACCAGCCCCTTCCAGCAGCACTTCAGCATTTTGAGCGGAGCTTCCGGAAGCCGACGGGAGGCGGAAACCGGAAGTCCGGCGCGACCATTACCTGCCCCCCCCCCCGCCCCGCGCCCGCCTCCCTGTCGCCCCCCCGCTTTAACTCACAGAAAACAGAGAGCTTTCCGCTACGCAGAGATGTTCTTAGTTTTCGCCCTCGTATCCTGCACGCTTGAAACGGGGTGGGGAATAAAAGTGGCGAAAGCGAGAAGTTGAACACCACCCCCCCCCGGGACGGGCTTTGTGGTTCAGTCCGGTTGCCGTGGAGACGGAGAGTAACAGCCGGGCCCGGCCGCTCGCCCCCGCGGCCATGGCCACGCTGGCTCGGCTGCAAGCTCGGGCGACGTTCTTAGCGCATCAGTACTACTTCAGGAGCAGGTAAGGCGTCCGCGGGGCACAGCGTGGAGGGCTGTCTGCGCCCCAGCCAGGGGCTCCTCAGCGGGAGAACAAAGTTCCGGAATCAGGAAACACCACCCCCCCCCCCCCCCCCCCGCTTCTCCCCTGCGCTTGTCGGACTCCAACATAATTGCAAGTTTAGAAGTAGGGATACAGGGATCCCCGGGTGGCTCAGCGGTGGAGCACCTGCCTCTGGCCCCGGGGTGTGATCCTGGAGACCAGGGATCGAGTCCCGCACCGGCCTGCCTGCATGAAGCCTGCATCTGCCCCTGCCTCTGCCCCTGTCTCTCATGAATAAATAAATAAAATCTTAAAAAAAAAAAAAGTTTAGGATAACAAAAAGAGGTTGTGTAAAGTATAAACAAACAAGGCTAGAGAAATAAGTAGGGATCCCTGGGTGGCTCAGCGATTGGGCACCTGCCTTGGGCCCGGGGCGTGACCCCGGTGTCCTGGGATCCAGTCCCGTATCTGGCTCCCTGCGTGGAGCCTGCATCTCCCTCTGCCTCTGCCCTGTCTCTCAGGAATAATCTTAAAAAAAAAAAAAAAGAAAAAAAAGTTTAATATAACAAACAAAAGGAAGTTGTGTAAAGTATAAGCAAACAAGTAGAGAAATAAGTAGGGATCCCTGGGGGTGGCTCAGCGGTTGAGCCCCTCCCTGCCTTTGGCTGAGGGCGTGACCCCAGTGTCCCGGGATCGAGGAGCCTCCTTCTCCCTCCCTCTGCCTGTGTCTCTGGCTCTATCTTTGTGTCTCTCATGGATAAATAAATAAAATATTTTTAAAAAGTAGGGTTACCCTACGTGGGTGGGGAGGAGTCATAGATGAGAGTGTAGGGTGAGGGAGAGACATAGTTATCGGTGGAGATGATTTAAGAAACATAAAATCGTACATTTTCTCTGACATCATCACTCCAGTTTGAGGAAACCAATGTCTCCCCTGTTGGAAGTTTTAATAGCCTGACTGGGGTTCCCCCCGGGTTCTCTAGGTGGAGGAGCTTAGTGTGTGTGTGTGTGTGTGTGTGTGTGTGTGTGTCCCACCTCCCTGGGGATTTGAGCCCCCATTGTTTCACCAATACCATTGAACTCAACTGTTCTATGACTCATTTGTCTGCCAAAGTGACAGTAATCAGCATCCACATGTTAACCCCTAGAAGAGGAGTAACACAGACTCTAGTCGCCTTATCCACCCCGCTACACCCAAACTTCTCCCTGAGGAAGAGTTTTATTTTGACTATGGCTTTCTGGAAGCAAGGCCTCAGGGGATTTTCCAACAGAAGAGAACCTGCATAAGAGTGAATTAGACAACAGTGGACTATGGTGAGATGGCCAGCCAAGGGAAGATACCTCAATAAGACAGGATTGTGCTGAGCTGTTCTTAGTCTAACATTCATCTTCCCTACTACATTCTTCTAGCATGCGTGCCTCTTACAGTACTTACCACAATTCAGTTTTACATTCTGCTTGGAGATATCGATGGTGCCTCTTAAACTAGAAGTGGGGAGAATCTGTTTTTTGTTTTTTTTTTTTTTGCTTGTCATTTAGGTCTCTAGCATCTATCATAGTTCCTCATACATGATAGATGCATAATAATTTTTTGACTGGTAGCTCCATGAATGAGTCTTTGAATCAGTCATTAGCCCTGTTTAAGTAAATGTACTAAAATTGCTCGATATAGAAATTATTCTCTGTGTATGACTATAATTACAGATAAATACACTATTACCCATTTATTGAGCATTTATTGGGAGAACACGCCCTATGTTCAAGACATACCTATATAAAGAAGTAAACTGCATCCCTCCTTATGTTCACGGCCTAATAAGGAATACAGGCATTTAAAAAGTAATTACAATAGAATAAGGATGAACAGGAAGTGAAACAAATAACATTTCTTAAGCAGTGATTATATGATTATATGCTAGGATTTGTATTAGGAACATAAATACCCCATTTGGTTTTCACAATGTTACAAGTTAATGTTTTTTTTTTTATTTTTTTTTATTTATGATAGTCACACACACACAGAGAGAGAGGCAGAGACACAGGCAGAGGGAGAAGCAGGCTCCACGCACCGGGAGCCCAACATGGGATTCGATCCCGGGTCTCTAGGATCGCGCCCTGGGCCAAAGGCAGGCGCCAAACCGCTGTGCCACCCAGGGATCCCACAAGTTAATGTTTTAGTCTCTATTTTTTAGAGCTCAAGAACGCTGTTCTAGAAAAGGCTGGTGAACTGCCATAGAAATACAAATAGACATATTTTTTTTCCTACAGATTACAGTATCAATTTTTGTTCCCATCTCCTGGCCTTTGACAATGGGTACATTTCCCCAAAATTGGAGGTTACTTGGAGCAAAGACTAGACCTATGAAAAGACCATGATGAAAAGGCTGGCATTCCTTCCATTTCTTTTATTATTAGTATTAATATTTTAAATATAAAAGGAAGTCTCTAAAGATCATGAAAGAGTCAAAATTACAAAGTTTGCCTAGTTAAAACAATAATAACAAAAATGTATTGATGACTTTAAGGACAAAAATCATACAAAATACTAATATGAAACAAGTCAACAGGCAGTTTCTTTATGAAATCATTGTCATTTCCTATGTGTTATTGTCTGGATCAGCTCTTTGTAAACTGTAATGTACATTAGAATCACTTCAAGATGTTGTTATAAATACAGATTCTGTTTCAGTGGGTCTCAGTTATGGCAAGAGAATCTGTATTTCTCATAAGAGTTCCTGTGAAGGCCCATTTTGCAGGAAAAAATGGGAGACTGTAGAAAAGGAACTATGTATGGGTCTATCATTTAACTCTCAAACATCCTTAAAAATTATATATATTTATTCCCTCTGCATGAGGGAAGGAAAATGAGATTCATATAGAGAAAATTTACAAGCCATTCAAAGTAATGTTAGTTTTATGGAAGGAGATTAAGCCAAGAAACCAGAACAGGTGGCTACTGTCAAGTTAGAATTAATGGTTTACACACGTGCAAACTTTAATAAAAATGTAGTGAGAAGTTTTACAGAAATAAGAGGGAAAAGAGTTACTGTAACCAATTTTTAAAAAATATATTTTATTTATTTTTTCATGAGAGATACACAGAGAGAGGCAGAGACATGGGCAGAGAGAGAAGCAGGCTCCTTGTGAGGAGCCTGATGTGGGACTTGATCCCAGGACCCCGGGACCACGACCTGATCCAAAGGCAGATGCTCAACCACTGACCCACCCAAGTGCCCTGTAACCAATTTTTGAAAAATAAATATTTTCAGTTAAAAAATATAATAAATGAATTTAAAAATAGAATAGTCACCACTAAATGTAAATATTTTAGGAAAGCAACATAGAGGACATATCCAGGAGATTTAATATGTCAACGATAGTTATTGAAGAATTTGGGAATGGGGTTGAGAAAATAAATAATAAAGAAATAACTGAAGAAAACATTCCTAAACTGAAGAAAGAATATGGCTTTGAATGGAAAGGACTCTGAGTACCAGACAAGATGTTATTTTAAGTCCTACTTCTTATATATTTTCTGGCAAAATTTCGAGGATACAGAAAAATTTTTCCAAGCTCCTAATCTAAGACAGAAAAGAAAAAAAGTTATTTGCCAAGGTAGAGAGAAGCATTGAATGACTCATATGCAACACAAGGGACCTAGAAGATAAAAGGACAATAATTACTGGTTATTCAAGGCAATATCTGAAAACTTAAACTGAGCGAAGTTCTTACTCATTTTTTTTTTTTGATGAAAGAATGACATTTCAGTTGTATAAAGACTCAGAGTTATGTCATCATATACTCTATTGAGGAAATGTATTCAAGAAGGCACTCTCTGAAATCAGGTGAGAATTAATTTGGAACGAAGATCTCAAGATAGGGGAAGAGGAGCAAAAGAAATAATAGAAACAATAATGAACAATTATGCTTGTACTATTTATAGTTAAATCTAGATTCACACTGTTAAATTTATGTGATACCCTAATTCTATGCAATTAAAAGAATCTAATAGGCGCTTGCAGTTTACTTCTGAGACATCTCCTTGTACAAGTTCAAAAATTCATTAGTACATTTTCCACCTCCCAAGTGGTTATAGCAACAGTCTTGCTAATTGTCTCACTAATATATAAGGCAGCTCATTCTTTATCCAATGTGTAATATCACTTTCCTCCCCACTCTTCCAGCCAATGTGATAATACTCTAGAAGCCAGTGTCTTTAGTGACCTTAGAATTCCCCACAGTCTCTCCATCACCCAGTCCCAAAGACAATGCCATATGTTTAAAGTTTATAGTACTGCTTGCCATAGTAACTTTCAATTTTTAAAGTTTTATGTAGCCAAAGTTGTCTATTTTTTGGCTTTGAGAATTTTACCTCTCACAGAATGATCTTCCCCAACCCATGGTTATACGAAAATTCTCTGTATTTACTAACAATATTTTAAAAGTCTTTTTTTTTTTTTTTGTGATGAGGCCTCTTTTTTTTTTTTTAAGATTTTATTTATTTATTCATGAGAGACACAGAGAGAGAGAGACAGAGAGAGAGAGAGAGACAGAGACACAGGGGCAGAGGGAGAAGCAGGCTCCCTGCAGGGAGCCCTACCTGGGACTCCATCCCAGGTCTCCAGGATCACACCCTGGGCTGAAGGCGGTGCTAAGCTGCTGAGCCACCCAGGCTGCCCTATTTTAAAAGTTTTATTACATTTTTCTTCACTCTTGAATTGTGTTTCTGTGCATATATCGTATGAGAGAAAGGCTTACCCCTCAGTGTAAACATTGTCTCAAACCCTTAATTGAACATTCCACACGTTCTTTACTGGCTTTAAATATTGTTAAAGTTTAAGTAAAAAGAGGTAAAATTGGCTTTATTCACCGACAATATGATTGTGTATATAGGAAGCTAAGCTACTTACCAAAAAGATCTAGAAATAAGTGAATTTAGCAAATTCTGTAGGACACAATACCCAATACACAAAAATCAATTG